TTATCGTTGATATTTGTACCGCGAGTATTTCCAAAGATTTCCGTATTTGTCGTAACGATGAATTCATTGCAACACGATGTCGATCGTGTACGCATTTGAAACATGGTATTGAAAGAGAGTTATATTTTCACGTGCTATATTATTCATATTATGTTATAGATAAAAATGAAATTTTATGTCGCACTAACAATTTCGCCTTATAATTGATACATGGATGTATAAAAAAATTTCATTTTTATTCATTTGAACTTATTACTACATATTATTATTCCGCCTAGCAGTTCATTTACGGCACTTTGGTTTGAGGTTTCATTTTGACGAAAATATGTTAATGGAGTGCCTGAAAATTATTCACATTTCATTGTTCATTATATATGAAATAGTTGCGCGTAAGTGAACGCTTACTATGAATTTCTTGTCCAAATATAATTTTATTTCAAACTTTCCGGTGCGTCCAAACTTCAATTTAGATGTTTATATTAATTATGAAATAGGATAACAATTCCTTTGCACCATAATTCCAATAAATTTTTGCATTAAGTATAATGCTGCTTGCTAAAAAAGTATGTTATATTTGCGGACAATATGTTTCAACATTATTGTCGAGACTTTTGCAATTAGTATATTATAAAGAGCTTCAATCCGAAAAGCGAACACTTGTCTCAAACGACAAAAGGTTTTGATTTTCCAATAGAAAAAGGTCGTTATTGAAGTACTTTGCCGTTACTGAAGAACTCCGAAACGACCGTAACCAGTGGAAACTGGGAGAGAGGGTTCAAACACAGAACAAAGAGAGAAAGAGAGAGCAAGGGAGAGAGAGAAAGAGAGAGAGAGAAGCGGGAAGAGAAAGGTAGGAAGAGAGGGATAGAGGACGAAGTTGAAGGAAAAAAAAAAGAAAAGAAGATGGGTGGCATGGCGGTTTGTAACAAAGGGGGGAGACACTGACTAGAGTGAGAGGCGTGCGAGACGTGGAATATGTCTGGCGTATGTGGAGAACCTTGTACACTCCCCCGGGATCGTTATGGGGGCATTCCGGCTTCTGGTATGTAATATCAGAAATTCCTGTCTACCTGTGTGTCGCCTGTTGCCGGTGCGCGATGTTCCAATTGGAGCGGGCGAAACGCGCATCCGTGCGATGCGAAAGTGGTATTACTTGTGTCGGCGGGGCTGGAGGGTGGAACGAAGGGCTGGATCATCAACGTTCAGAAGGATAAAATTATCCTGCACGACGAAAGTTGGTTGCGAGAGATTCGCTTAAATTACTACTTCCACTTGATGCTTATCGAGAAAGAAACACGTCACGCGTGATATGCATTTAGTTATTTTGACATGGTGAAACGCCTCGCATTAGAAAAACTAATAAAAGGGCCTCGCGGGGTGTGTTGCAATCTTTCGAGGCAATGCAGCGAATAATATATATAGAGAGGACTTTGGTTTCGTCGCATGGTAGGGTAGTTTTAGCCAGAGGCATCGGTTGTCTGCATTCGACACATTGTCAATTTGCCGCTGCTCGTCTCGTCTGTTTAAAATCGATCGTGCCAGAGCACACATACCTGCCTACCGAATACATTTTCGGTTTACGAGTGCTGTAGACGTCATTCTCGTTCCCTAACAATGCGCTAAAAAAATAGTCGCTTTGTTCAATTTCTGTCCATCGCCAGCATATGTTGGGTCATTCATATTAATGCCTTCGAGGATTTTTGAAACTGCACATTTTAGAATTTCAATAGAAGCTATTTTTATTAGCTTTTATATTTTCCTTGATATTTAGTGAATGAGATCAAACTTTGCAAAAATAAGCTTCTCCATTCGTGAGTTTCTCCATTTCTTGAGCATATTTTCCATCGAATGAATAAATGTGTATTTGTTTTTTAAAAGGAATACAAAACAAAATTAATTAAAAGAGATAATTATGATTATAATATTTAGCTTTAAAAAATTTTATTTTTATTATCAATTTTATTTTGAAATTATCAAAGAATGTATCAAAAGAATAAAATAACATTTTTCTTATTTTTATATTTTTTTAATAATATAATAAATCGGAATTTACTTGCCATTTATTTCACAATCTATGAATTTTTTTTCGAAAAAATTCAGGCAGTAATTTTATGTGATATAAAGAGAAAAAGTAAAAATTCAAAGTCAATTCAGCCGTTATCAATTGCCAGCGATCTTGCTATCCTGACTATCGCAATCACTGAAAATGAGAACCGCAAACGCGATGCATTTGAAGTATCATGTGACTGAGAATTCCGCACGGGTGAGCGACGCATTCCGCGTGATATCTATTTCATTATAGGGGAGATTCCACAGTATTTTTGCAATTATATGCTGTGATCATCGCCACTGGTTACACATGTTATACCGTTCATATTGTGTTTGCGAATATTGTCGCAATATGGTCGAAATTTCTCGGGGACGGCCCGTGATCGAATACTCGGACCAGCGACGTTAATTATCTTTAATCCAATTAGTTATGTATTTGCATATGCCGACTACGATGTTTTCGAGCGTTCGTGTCTGCGCTCATTAGCGCCGTGGATATGATGCAAATGAACGAAAAATAAGTTTGCAGATGTGACGCGTTCCCTGTAAAGCATAATTAAAAATGCTATCCCTGTCACTCGTTGCATACTTTAGATACACGAAAGGTGGTTCCGTACATAAGACCATTATTATGTACGGTTTTTCATACATTTACGATTATTTTATTCCATTTTTTTCAATTATCCCACAGATTGAATGCAAAATAAAAATAAATTACACAAAAATATCATAGAGAGCGAGATAAAAAATTGAACAATGATTCAGTAAGGAGATCGTATTTTCCCTTAATGAACGTCATGAATAATATTAATAAAAAAAATGCAAAGCATACACGTGGAAAATATTAACTTTGTCAATTAAAATCATCGTCAATTATTTCTAAATGAGCAAAAGAATGTATAAAACTGGGACGGTGCAGCTATTTCATCATGTTTATTAAATTTCTTTGACATCCTCTTGTCTCCTTCGCGCAAGAAGCAATATGACTGTGTGGTACGCACGTTCATTAGAAACTGTATGACATAAGCGTACTATCACTTTTTGCAACTCTTTTTTGTATTTTTAAGTGCTTAAAAGAATATCTTCAATCATATAAATTTTTGACGAGATATATTGTATATAACTCTAATATACATATATATATATATATAAGATATATACATAACTCTATTGTAAATATGGTAGATTATAACATTAAAAATTTTAATGTTAAAAATTTTTAATGTTATAAAATATTTTTAATGTTTTAAAATCTACCATATATATATATATTTACAATAGAGTTATGGAATATGAATTATCCATTTATTTCGGAAAGAGAAAAAAGTTTACAAAAGCATTTAATGTAAAATTTGTTACCATGTCCACACACAACTCATATACCTATATGTATTTATGTAGGTATATACGAGTATACTAAAAAGATAAAAAATTTTGATAAACTTTTGATACTATTTTTTTTTTAATCTATTGTAAAAGTTATCGATATTTATTATCCATATTAGCTTTAATATCATTTGTGTATAATGTAGGTTTGTTAGAATAATATAATTCTCGTAGAAGTGTTAAATTTTACAAGTAACACGTTGCATGAAAAGATGGTTAATAAATTTACGCGAATTAATAATTAGAATTACTATTGAAAAGCAAATAAAAATGGCTGTTTGAATGTTGAATCTGTCATTTTTAAGCAAATCTTAGATTTTAATGCACTAGTACAATATTTGATGTAACTATAAAATTAATGTTACATGCATCCTTTATGTTGAAATAGAATGGAATGCTGTTCATGTAGGATCCGCGCCGGCGGGTCAGCAAGCGTTGGGAGCTATCGTGACTTCCGTTCTCGCTGCACGAGCTCCCGCGTTATAAAAAGGGGTAGCTATTGAATTAAAAGGACGTAGCGAATAAGGCGGGCTGCAATGAGAAAGCGAGATCGCGACCGAGCGAGATTTCAGCGTGAGCGTGAGCACGCGCGCGAGGGAGGAAGCGTAGCGAGAGGATGTGAAATGCCGCGATGCGAAGTAGGAAGGGTGACGGGGACAGCGATAGAGTGACGGGGATCGGGAGGAGGGAAGAAAGGCGGAGGAAATGAGAAGAAGAGGGCTCTCTCTTCTCCTTCGGCCGGTCGTCTGCTCGCATCCCTTCTCTTTCCCCGCACTCGCCGACGAGCGTCCGCCGTGCGCGCTCTTGCCGGCCATAAAAATAAAATTTCAATAAATCTCCACCGTGCGAAAACTAGTGGGGTATTCAGAGGGCGGGCTGCTCCCTCATTGGAGCTGCGTTCGCGGCGGTAACCGCCTACCGCAAAGCGGAGACGACGAAAGAGACCGTAGCCTGGATAGAGTTTACCTCGGGATATGGGCAGCCCTCGCAGGTTACTAGCTATTGCGACGCAGGGACTGAAAATTCGGCGACAGTATCTTCGGATTTAAAGCTCTTCGTCGCTTCCTTTGTTCAACTCTATCCGCTCCACTGTATTCGTTTTATTTTGATTCTTTCATTGTTTAGCGAAATCTCGGCCTATCGTACTGTCTCTGTCCTCTTCAAGCGTGCACTTACTTAGCTTCACCAAGGTTAAGATGGATTATCGTCCAATTAAGCTTAAACATTGCGCTCTCGTTGGTGTAATCAGAGCAATTTTCGGTAATAATATAATTAAATTCTTCTGTAAAAAAAATTTACAAATGCAGAAAAAAAATCTAAAAATATAATATATATATTTTTCGCAAATATAAACTCATTATATAATATCAGAATTTTAAATTCTGAATTTTAAATTCTGTCTCATCGCGATCACTATTTTAATATTCTATTATCAATGAATAGGTAATAATTTTTGAATAAAGAAATTGGTATTTTTATTCTTCTAAAGAGAAAATAAAATGTTGATTGCAAGGATTTTTGGAGGAAGGCATTGCCATGGCTAGCTACCTTCCTGAATCCTGTACCTATCGTTGAATCTGAAGGATAGGAGCGATTTAATATCACGCCCACCAGCGAAGAGCACGAGAGGGTAGGGTTTGCACAAGGGGTGAGCGCAAGCGAGAGATCGGCGGTGCGCTCGTTCACACGAGCAAGACGCCTATATCCCCGCCAAGCCAGCGTGAGTGGGGGTGTTCGGATATGGCAGTCGACCAGTTCGCTGTTTGCCTTCCTGGGGCACGGGCCGGTCTTCAGGCTCGTTTGTACACCCAAATATTCATCCAGGAAGATCGTGTGTCGCGCCACCAGTCATAGTTTTTTTTTCGTCCGTAGTTTCTTGAGTTGAGGGTGAGGTGTTCGCGGTGTCGCGCGGATTTCCATTTCCGCGTGCTGTATCGGAGCTACGCTCCTAGGGAGCGGCATGCTCAACAATATCACCGCCGGCGGTTCCGTACATGGTATCTCCGGTAAGTATCATACGTACTAAGCCAGAGATCTGTCGAATTAATCCGCACCGAGATAATATTTGGGTATATTTAACGGTTTCGTTAGTATTACATAATCGTCCGCGAATAATCCGCTGTGTGCCGGGGTTAATTTTCTCGCCTGAACCCTTTTTGGAATCCTGAAGCTGGCCGAGATTCGCAATAATCATTCATTTCTGTTGTTTTCTTGTATATTGTGGTTTAAATATCATCGTGAGAATAGGAACACAATTGAATATATTTTGGCTTACTTTCAAAATAAGAAAAATTCAATAAAAAATTATTAATTTAACAAATCAAATGATAGATTGTTTATTGCGACTCACTGAGTGCAATATATCATTATTATATATTTTATTTTACTGTTACATTATTATATCATCAAGTATAAGCTTATTTCGATCAGAATTCTTGGGGAGTCGTCGATCTCTCGCCGACGGTACCATGCGCGTTGCTTCTGATTTGTATCAGCATTCCGTATATCGCGTTAAAAGATTCTAATCGGCGTGAAAATTTTGTGAAGTGGCAATTTGATTGGATTAAGTATAAAAAGTCTCCAGATTAAACTCAGTGTCAATCGCAGATTCCATTAATCTTGATAATATAGCAACTTTTATCAATGTCAGTGGGTAAAACCATTGAAAGATCTAAATTTTGATTTCTAATTTGTAATAAAAGTGTTGCGGGAGATCGAACAATATTAATAATAATATATTTAATTTTGTTACCCCGATTTTGCAACAAGCATATCATTAAACAATTATTGGTGCCTATTGTGCGATTGCTGTGCATTGTGTGAGGAAGTAGAAATTGATACTAAATTATTTTTACGAATCTCCAGTTTTTATACTTTTATGTGTGACGTAGAATGTAACGAGAGAAAACAGTGACAGTATGATACTGATGTAATAATAGTGTCAATTCTCTGATACGCGAGAATCTCAAATTTACAGTGCGGCGCGCAAAGTATCGTCATAGCATCAGGTGTCTCGTAAGAAACGTATTTCTTCATCATTTTTATAGCGCCAGCTAGTTTTACCACATTTGAACTCTAATCTTAACTTTTTAACCTAATTTACATTGATCTTTTGCTTAAGTAACGTGGCATTATTATATTAATGCATTACAATTAAAAGTCAAGTGATTTTATTAATTAATCAAACACTATTACGAATATTATTGATCTAATTATAAGTATTATTAATACTCATAATTAGATTAGTACAAAGTGTAAGTTTAGAGAGTTAAAATCCATTGGAAAGAAAGTTGACCGTTAAACAGTTAGCCAAACAGTTGTGTAAGTAATTAATTCATTCACAAGTTATAATTTATTTATAAATTTGATTACAAATAATTCTGAACTTCAAAATCTTTTATATGCAATACTTTCTCTTTCTCTCTTTTTTTTTATAAAATATATAGTTTTATTAAAATTAATGACCATGCCATAGCTAATTAATGCCATAGCTAAACTTATAACAAAAATATTAGTATATTTTGTCGCAAGATGACAATTACGTTCAGTTAAATATGTAGAAGTTGCGGTTAAACTGTAACTATTACCGTCGATAGTGAGTCGGTGATTTTCCATGAGACGAGAGTCATTTCCTGTGCAAAGCAGTGGATTAATAAACTGGATATGTGATACTATTACGACTTGCTGCCGAATAATTATTACCACAATTTGATTATTGGGTTTTAAACTTTTTATCAATCAAGAATTTTATGAAATTATTTTTTTAGATTTATTTTAACGTTTACGTTATTAATATTACTGTAATTCTATATTTTTTGCCATTTATAAAAAAAAAAGTAAATCCTGAATAATTTCGAATTTCGTTTAAACAATTTGACTTTTGCATATTATCCGTCGGCTGATGTAGAGACTTTTGCTCAATTAATCTACTATGAATAATTTCATCAAAACCATGAATTATAGTTACAATATTTATTGTATTAGTAGAGATATTTATAGATTCACATTTTCTACATAAATTTTTTTTACTTATGTATGTTGAAAATTCTTCAATGCGTAAAAAGTTCTTCAATATTTTCTTTCTATAAAAAATTAAAGATATTTATTATTTTTATTTATTAAAAATATTTGCAATATATATAAAATTATAATGCACGTAACACTTATAAATTTTTTAAAACATATTAATATTTGAAATAATTAATAAAATGACTAGACTTTTATTATATTCATATAATTCTTGATACCGATCATATTTTCTTTGTATCCAGTAAGGTTGTAGATTACATTAAATTATGGCATTTTGAGTTAGGAGAATCTTTTATTCACGATTAAGTTTCTATTATCAAAATCGAGAAAAAAAGACAAAATTTGCATGAAAAGTTACATGGAAGAAGAGTGTGATGCACCGGCAACACGTGATGCGCACGTCTTCGTTCTCCTTCGTCTCAAGAAAGCCGCTTCTCGAGTTTGATGATCTTAATTACCTCAACACTGATTACATTACGCGAGAAGTTGAGGAACGATTTAGAGAGTTAGAATGTTGCAGGTGGCGAGAACTGAGTAAAGCGTTACACATTAACCGGATTAAAAGAAAGTCATTGTTTAAGTTTTTTTATTAAACGTCAAGCGCTAAGTGTTAATTTTTCTGTGATATTTACTCCGTCACCATGCAGCTTATACATTTGTTTTTTATTTTATTTTTAAATAACATTGTTACGATTATTGAGTGAATTAAACATCAACAATGTGTCAATATAGAAGAACGTCGAGGAATTTTCTTTTGAAATTATTAAATTTTAATTTTGTTCAAACGATTGCAATCATCATATATCGTACAGTAATTATAGTCGAATTTGCAGCAGATTATTAGCCGTCGGCTTTGCATTCTAATAAATCGCAAATTGCTTATCGCAAAATGAGATCAAACATATACTTATTAACGACAGTTTGATTCGCGACTGCATCGATACGTCTTCAATTACCTGCCTTCAACTTACGCGATACGGAAAATGAAATTTGGCCCTCGGAAACGTGTACGCATTTCGCGTTCGCCATACTTAAAGTATGTCCGTTAAAATTTTTTATGATATACGTTAATTGCATTTGGGTTATCCATTGAGTCAAGGTGGGCACAGTTCGCGGGTGTGACATGCGAATAAATACGTCTGTCACGACATTTCCAAATAGTAATGTGATTTATGACTTTATTATTCAGACGTTTCTGCACACGGAACGCGGTTGTCAATCATTAAACTTTTGAAACGTCGATAAATGCGCGACCAAGCGCGTTATAAAATTTCTTTTTCTACAGTCACTTCATGTATTCTGAATAACGGCGGTACCATTGTATATGAGTGTAGTTAAAAACACACGTGTACCACGGATACTTAGCTGCATCGCAAGCGAACCTTTGGTGATTAGCGTCTTAATTCGATTACAACGTTCGATAATCCGATCGATTAATGCGGGATTAAATAATCATTCTCAATCATTAATAAGCGAGAAATTATCTCGAATTACGCAAATATTAGCGGATAAATTTTTCTTTTTCCATTAGGAAGTACAATATAATTTATATGGCATTGTAATTGTGCTGCGTAAATTTTACACATTAGCAGTTTTGCCATTGTTGTTCACGGAGAATCACAATAAAGACATCAAAAGAATCCACCGAATTCTGGCCGAATAAAGGGGCTCGTAAATACCGAAACTGCTACTAAAATCTGAATAAAATCATTAAGGTCCATAAAAACACAAATAAAGACCTATCATAAAGTTCATTCATACAAGGTGTTCATTCAATGAAGCCTCACTACACGGTGGTCCGACAGTTTGACATTAATTCGCCACATTTCTATAATTTTTTATACTTACGGCTATAAATATAAATCAAATAAAAACTTCTCTTTATTCTGCATTTTTTTTTACTATTAAGAGTTTATATGATTAAACGGTATTATTAAGTAACACAGTATTGAATATGGAATGATACAGAATCATATGAAAATAATTAAATGATATCAATAATGAATTTGAGTAAAACTTGCAATGAAAAGGTTCTTCAGAGAAGCTTTTTTGCGCCAATCTAATTGGAAATAATAATAATGTTTATAGTTTTTTGTTTCAAATCAATATCTGATTATAGAAATTTACGAAAAATCAGATTTCAAGATGCTTCCGCGATGACGAAAGCTTCGAATGCTTAATTTTATGATGAAAAATTCCACACGCTTACAAATGTACATAATTAATGACAGCAGTTTCAGATGAGTTATTTCATTGTTTTAAATCTTCTATATTTTTCACGGCGCTTTATTGCATTGTCATTCACGAGCGGAAATTTTTAACGAGCGCTCTTTTTCTCGCGCGCAACGCAAAAGATGCGCTTACGTCGCCTACCTGACTAAACTAGTTTACCTCATTACGTAAGCATCTTTGACAATGCACAACGATGTGCAATACCCGCGATCTGACACACGGTCCGCACTGATCTCAGATAGACATCCTCCGCGACACAGCACACGCTCACATATACATAATATATGCACAGAGCCGTGCTATTCGTACACATATGCCGCGCACACGTACGCGTCTATGCATGTGGTCGTGTATGTATGTGTGGAGTATCGGGGCATGTGTTTGCTCGCCTAGAAGCCAGAGTACGGTGACGATTCTCGCACCTCCTCGCTAAGTGGTTCGTACGCCCCTCGGCCAGCTTCTGCTCCTATACAAATTTAAACTACGTAGAACGGGCGCGTGGGGCGGGCGAGCGAGAGGCATGTGTGGAGCACGAGGAAGCACGGTGGAAAGAAAAAAAATGGAAGAAAACTGAAGCGGCTCGTCTTCTTTTTTCTGCTTCTTACCTTCCTTGCTGCTGCACGCTCGTAGGAGCGAAGGATGCGCAAGATCTGAAGCGGTACGAGAAGGAGCACGGTGTGCTGGGAGTGAATTTGGGCTCCGGTCTGTCCGCGGGTGGTGGTCTCACGCTTCATCAGGAATTGATCATGACTATGCCCGGCACAGGTGAGCTTACCGTCGCGTCCATCCTGCGAAATATCCATCTTTGTTAATCAGGAATCGATTGAAAGAGATTCGCTGAGAATGATTCGCAAATTAATCGCGCAAGTCACAAATTTACTCTTCTAATTAGCAGTTTTAATCATTAAAATATACACTCTACGAAATTAATAAATGAATCAATAAACCAAAATACTCGTAAAAGAAGTTTTGGCATAAAGTTCGACTTTATTTGACTTTATGCCTTTCATTCACGTTTTGAGACTGTGGAAGTAATTATGAGCGATTTGGGATTAAAAATGAATGGCTATCCATTAAATAAACGGAGTGATCATGGTAAACGGGAAGATGAGTAGCATCGCTTTTCCACGAATGCTTCGTAAGCAGCCATAATAAGCGGATGAAATTTTCAGAACGGATTGCGCGATGTTTGCATCATGAATTAGAAGACAGAACCATTTTTCTGAATATCTTTAATATAATAGCGTGTTTTTCAAAGATTGTTTAAGGGATGTGTTTAAGTATGTTGAAAAGATTACGCGAGGCAAATATTTGTCTCAAGTATCGTCGTAGTTCACAATCATTGAATTTAAACAGTATAAAATACAAAACTTATAAAATAAATTTAATCCTAATTTAGTTAATGTAACAATTAGAATCGTAATATATAGTTGAAATAATTGATATGTGAGGAATCGGCATTTAATGCTACACAATATTTATTTTTACATCTTTCCGTATTTTAGGAAGTGCGGCGGGGATCGGACAAAGCGATGACAAGCCCGCGAAACAGAAGCGACATCGAACGCGTTTCACACCGGCTCAACTCAACGAACTGGAAAGGTGTTTCACCAAAACTCACTACCCGGATATCTTCCTGAGAGAGGAAATAGCTCTAAGGATCGGCCTCACGGAAAGTCGCGTTCAGGTAGGTGTGGTCAAAATGTACATAGTGCCGTTCACACGAAATGATTAATCCAGCGTGCGTTAGACTCTATCGCGTGACTTCACACATCTACCGTTGCGGTGGAATTACATGCAAATCTCTGTGTCATGCATATTAAAATAGATGTAATATCCAGCATCATGTATTTGGACGTTTAAATCGGTAACTGCAAAAGAAAACATTACACGGGCAAACGTTTTTGCAATTAGGATAAAAAAGAATTTATCACTCTTTCCCCAGAAAATCAGATTTCACTTTTTATAACATGCACTTTTTATATAATGGCCGATTAATTTATATAAACGTTTTAATTATTGCGTTGTCATATATTTTATCACGCGATATTAATTTAAATATTTTATAAATGTCAGATGATTTCTGATTCAAATATATAATAATAAAAAAATATAATAATAACATGTTGGACATAATGCTCTGTAAGCACGTATTAATAAGTTTTCTAAGAGTCTGAATGTTTAAAGAAAAAAAAAAAAATTAAATTACACGAACATAGTGCAGTTGAGTGACATCAATGTTAGAGGGTTATAAGGTAGCATAAATTGTCGTGTGGTGACTTCGCGGTTATCCTCAGAAACGTATATCTAGACAGTACCGGAACTCCGGCGGAATCAATTGTGCCGGCCTACCGTGGCTTTTTGGATTAAAGTGAAACTTGGAGTAGCAGCTAAGCTCTCACCCTGCAGGGTTCCGAATTTTGGTGGGTTTCACTTGGTTGCGAGGCGACCGCGAAACTTCGCGAAAGCTTGCGAGTCCTGCATCTGCATCGGGAATTCCAAGATCAAAGATCGAGAAATTTCAAACGCGGTTTCCGCCGTTTTCTCTCGTGCTGCTTAATTACAATATTTTTTTATGCGAAGATATATACATACATATGTACAAGATATATTTATCGGGCCAATTGTCAGGATTATTAACTTAAATTTATTTTTGCTCAATCTATAATTAAAAACAAGGGATTATATTTTACAAAGTTAAATTTTTAGAGAAATCATTTAGTGATGGCTTTGCATCAACTCAGAGAAACTCAAAAATAATACACGTTAATAAGGAGCATTAAAAATAGACGCATCAACAATAAACGTCAAATTAAATTAAAAAAAGACACGATAAATCGAAGCATCTTCCGCATTATAATATAACGGGCATAATGTGTTTTTGACAGCAAATACACTCGTGATTTCCGCTTTATTCATTTAAATACGAGTTTATTTAAATACGGAAGATGCCGCACGCGACAGATATCTACGATATCTCAAAATTTATAAAACCAAAATTCTTGAATATGTTTATTTAAAAGTTTATCAACCTTTTTATTTATCGTCGACGGCCTCTTATCAATGTGCATTTTATTAAATATCAGGAAATAAAATTGGCGTATATATTTTATTTTTAAACGAAAAATTTCAGGCCAACTAATTACAAGTAATAAAAAGTGATCTTTAAAATTAATCTAAATAAAGAACTTTTAAAATAAAGCTTCTGATTCATTGTATATAATGTATTTAGTGTTGTATTAATCTTATTTTACGTGTGGCAGAAGAATACGAATTTTAATGCTGGGAATTCTGCCATCAGGTGGAATTACTATGCGCTATATTGGAAATAATTTTAAACGTTTAGCAGAAAAATATGTTAAATATTAATTAAAATAGAAGATGCTTATTTTACTGTGATGCAAACTCGTCTTTGCATGAAGAAAGTAACTCCGTTTGATGGTAATTTGACATTTTTAATAGATTTCAAAGCAATTTCACGCTAAATAAACATTTTTTCACTCGATTGCATTTGACCATCGTGTGAGAGTGGTTCGGTCTCTCCACGGGCTATCAGCTGATAGACTCTTTTAAGTCTCCGGGGCACGTCTAGAAAAACGGAGTTAATAGAAATTCATGAAAATTTTATTCGCAACTTGGAGGCGTCAGTCAAGCCGGGCGTTGTGCCGCATATCAAACAGCCGTGCTCCGTCCCTTTCGCGCTCGCATATATAAATTCGCATATGCGAGTGTTGCCGAATATATCGCCTTACCCTCGTGCTTGTTTACTACATAATCAGATAGCTGTCTGCACGATGCACATAGTTGTTTAAATAGATATTGTTGGAATAATTTATTTCTGTAAGGTAATCTTAGCACTACGATGAAAGAAATTGCTAAAATTGGCCGGTGTTTTACTTGTCTGAGACAGCAGTTTCTAAATTTTTAATTGTGTAGACTGTCGATTATTGTCCATTTTTTTAAATGTTACATGTTTGACAATTATTTTTTTGATACCGTGTAAAGATAATTATCCAGTACTGTATTGCTTTTAAGAGATTTGAACAGGGATACATTCAATGTAGTTGCTTCAATCGTTCCGCAATCACGATTCGATTTCCATCGCGCGACACATTGACCGCAGTATATACATTTACGAAATGTCTTACGAATTAGTGGTTTTGAAGTCACCTGAGGGATCCGGACTTCCTTAGGCTCCGGAGTAGCGCGTGTTCGTTCCGGCGAACGGGAAATGTCAGGCGAAGGGGATGGAAAAAAAAAGGAAGAGAAAAAGAGAGAAAGCAGACCGGGATTCGTAGATCTGTCGGGCGGCAGGCTGCCTAATTGAAAGAGGTTTTCTGTGGGCGAGGGTAGACATCAGCGTGAACGAAGCGTTTCCAAGGAAACCCGGCGGCGGGCACTCGTGTGGAGAGGGCCTTCGGCACCAATGGGGCTGCGAGGGAAAGGCGCCGGCGCTCAGCATCGCTATACTATCGAGCGTTGCTATCAAAGGTTTCTTGACTTGCCATGGCGGATCCATCGGCTATTTTAAAGATAGTTAATTTTTTTGAGTTTTTGTTTTCAATTATACTTGCTATTTGTGGTCGTATATCGCTATGATAATGGACTTTCTAAAATATTTCGATGCATCATATAACACGTCGTCTTCGTTATTCAATAATCTTTTTGTTCAGAAATTAAAAAAGCAAACTGTTTTTTTTTTTTTTATTGTTAGTGTAAAGAAGGTAATCATATCTGGATATTCCAAAAATATCGCACATACTAAATTGTTTAAGGATTAAAGAATCTTTCTTCTGCAAGCGCACCTTCTGTTCTTGTATTTACAAAAATTATCGCACGATAAATCGTCTCTGTGAAATATTAACTTTAAAATTAGCGATGGGGGAATCCATATTCGCAGGTGATACTGCTCGTTTCCGTGACCCATGCACATCGTATGCAGCATAAGTTGTGACACTTCGCATCATTGATACAGTAAACGTAATAGCTCTGTTGTATAATCGTTGCATTAATGGGTAGAAAATTGCTCGTTACGAGTGCGTTGCACATAATAGCGCGGCAGCTCTTTCCCTCCCTATCTCTTTGATAACTGCGATAGGTGCATGATAGTTACACAACAATTGTCCCGTTTACGTGTAGGTATTGCTTATCCAATCATCCTTTACATGCGATCGCTTCTTTTTAAACTTTATCGAGTAATTTTTACATGCGATCGCAAACACCGCTCGATATATCACTTGTTAGAATCGACGCTTGCATTCTAAAAGTTTGAATCGTGTATACATTACATGTGTTATTTTATCGTTATAAAATTTAATTAAAGAATAGAAATTAGAACGTATTTTTTTTTTTAGGAATATATACTGATAGTATTTCACAATGTTGTGTACTCAGCACAGAATGAACTTGAGATCAACTTTTAAAATATTTTTTATTTTTGCCATTATTTCTCAGTACATTCAAAATTGATCGAAGCGATGTGATAGAGATATCCGAATACAATCGGCAAACACGCGCTGCCGGCGGAGCGAATGGTCGCGCGCGGAGAGATTAATCAGTCACCATTTTTCCCATCGGGCGCAACGCCGCGCGGCGGAACAATGGGAGGCATCCCTGATTAGCAATGAAATACTTGAAATAGTGTAATGAAATATTACGGTTCATCGATTTGTAGTAATTTATTACCGTTCGAAGAGAGGCGTAATTGCTGCTCCATCTCTAATTCCCGTTAATGAACAACAATTAAATTGCACGATAACGCATCATGAGAACTGCTGTACAAACAACAATTACTTCGAAGTGGCATTATGCAGCTATTTGAAATTATGTGTAACATTTAATTAACGTCTTAATGCGATTATTGCTGCGTTGCGAACTCGTTAGCGCGATGATACGTATTGTCTGAGATATATGCTGCGGAGATACGCGCACTCTTGTATCAGCATTACGAGATTTGACATATATGTATAGAATATACGAAATTACGGTCTGCGTTCGCTCAAAATAAAATAATTAAGAGCTGCCGACTTTATTGCTGAAAAATGCACGAGCTTTTGGTGAGCGTTCGTTCTGCTTAATTAGCTGTAATGGATATAATGAATTTTACATTAGACCGAGTTTTATCATTTTCGAATAAAAAAAAAGATATAACTTATATTCTCATAAATTCGATGCAGTGGGTTGCAAAGTGCAATCAATTCCCATTGCATTGAAGTAATCGTGCGAAGTTGCTGCATTTGATGTGCATACGACGAGCACTTTTGCTAAACGCGAAAAACAATTTACCAAATCGGCATTCTAGTATCTTAATGGAATAATTTTTTGAAGACGACAGCAAGAGCACAATGTCAGCGACGCGTTGAATGTTTTTACAATATGTATTTATTAAAAAAATATATATATTGCCGAAGAGTTTTCAACGAAATATTATTTTGCAAGATTTCTCAGCATCTGAGGTTACGTTTTCATCAATTCCAGTATAAATAACTTTCTAAATTTAAACGGCTTGACAGATTATTCACGGAAATCACGCAGGTGTCCGCTTATTAGACTAGCTACAGAATTTCGGAAACTATTTTCTCAATGAAAACGCTGTTTGATTGCCATACATTATTTCGCATGATGGTAACGTGAAATTGCGAGACGCCACATGCCGCTCGCATGTCGCGGCGCGAATTCACGATTGAC